TTGGACATTTTCACTTAGGGGTGGACTCACTTTTGTTGCCAGCGGTTTAGACATTAATGGCGGTGTGTTAAGTTATTTTGAGAGGACAATAAATTTACACTATTATACAAGCTGTACACTCACTACATCACATTGTAGCAAAGTGTGATTTCTTCAGTGTTGTCACATGAAAAGATATAATAAAATATTTACAAAAATGTGAGGGGTGTACTCACTTCTCTGAGATACTGTGCATGTTAATGGGAGACCCTGTAAAGAAAAAAAAACATTATTGGGTTCCCCTAATAAAAAAAATACTTTATCCCTATCCTTGATGAGGGTATGGTATGGATGTTAAGGTGAAACCTTGTAGGGTGGCCCATAAATTCTATAGATAATATAATAGCCAGGCTGGCTCTTGTCCTCACCAATACTGGGACAATGTGTTTTGTCAAGGTTCCAAATCCCTGCTGAGAGTGCTTGGCCAGATATGGTTTGGGGAGGTGGGGAACCACTCAATGCTTGGATCTGGGTCTGATGGGAAGCAGCAGCAGTACTAATGCTGCTGTTTCGCTTCCCACTGCCATTGGAAGTTCAACTCAACTGAACACCAATTTAGTCCAGCCATTTGCTGAACCTCCAAACAAGAAAAATTCAGTCCAAACGTAGGATGGGATTGAACTTGCAACTTGTCCCTACTTCTTATATTTAGGTGAATTTAGGCTCAGTTTACCAAGAAGAATCCTAAAAGCCCCCACAGTTGGATAGGTGCACTATGACCATCCCTTCCCATTCACCCTATTGGTCAAGCCATTTTTTTTCGTGACCTAAAACACCTGATAAACTATCGACCCTACCAAAATGCAGTATTGTTATTTTGGGTGACACCAAATTGTCTACTACTATTAAGTGTTGGATTAATGAGAGAAAATGAGACAAATGTACACACTCCATTAAGCTCCTTTGATGATGACTAATCCCAGGATCCTAGTGCTGCAACACAAGAATGCTGACCATGCTGCCCAGCAGTATTGGTGCATAACAATCACAAGGATAACTGATAAGAAGACATTAGGCTGAATAGATCTCTAAGTTGTCATAGTGAAGGCATTGCATCCAACCAAAGCTAAAATATGGAAAAGGCGACAATGTGGAAGCAGAAAAAGAGTTATATAATGGACTGTGTGTACCAAAGTGGTTAAAAAGTAAAGTATGAGAAATGACAGCAGAGAATGACAGGCTATCCATCCCTGCTGAATTAATGCATTTTAACACCTTGAAATTTAATTGTATGGTTGCAGACAAGAACAACAAGCTCCTTTGTTGAAAAAATCCATTTAGTGTTTAGATAACACAAAGAAACCGCGCTCTTTTGTTTTGCATTGCGGACAGTATATCACGTTGCTATGTATTGCGGTTTTTCTTTTTTTGAACGCTATTCACTGTAGGATGTTGCTTAATGCAATTGAGACAAGGCCTGCGAACGTATCTACTAAAATGTCAAGGTTTCTTTCTCAGCCTGTAGCTTCCATTACACAGTCACCTCCTGACAACAGGCTGCTCTCTGCATTTACAGAACAATAGACACCAAATGAATTTGCTAGAGTTCATACCACGCTTGTGTGTAGGGGGGAAACCAAACATGAATGCTTACAGTTCAGGAAAGATAAAAATGTAAGTGAAAAATATTTTGCTGTTACTGCTCAGTCATTAGCAGAAACTTGTTCCTGTTTAGATGAACAGGAGAGAGGAGTGTAATCTACCATTACTACTGCTAGAGAAACAGGAGGTACATACCTACCTACTGCCTATTAATCCCACAGTGTTGCTAAACCTCCAGAAATGTACAGACAATCCATAAACTGTAGTCTAATTTAAGTTGCCTAATAAATATGTGTAAAAACATTTAAGTATCAGCTAACTGCAAATTATTTTATGTGTATAACAAATGTGATATATTATTTTTGTGGTAGCCTTCCAAAAAAGATGTCTCTGCATATTGTTTTGCTTAATTTTTGATTTGAACAGATATTTGAGTGTAAGTTTAAAGCTGAGCTCCACGGAAAAAAAATTATCCTGGGGTTGCACCAGCACTGCAAGGGTTAACTACTCCATTATGTCTACAGTAGGTACTAAAGTGCTTTTACTTACATGATCCTCCACTCCTCTGCTTGTTGACTGGTCCAGGCAGCCTCTTCTCCCCTATGCTCTGGTGGTTTAAAGCCCTCTGATGTCACGAAGACCAATGAAATGACATAGCCCTGTACTGGATGTGAAGGTGTTGAGATAAAGTCCACTGCCAGGGAATGGGTACATTTTTACCGTAATATAAGGGCACTATAATGCAGATTTTTGTTTAATTAAAAACTGGCTGGTCTGGATCCCATTGACAAAGCAGCCTAGTCAAAGTGATTTAATACTGGATATGTAGTGTCTACAATATTTTAGTGGCTAATTCCAGTGATATAAATAAAACCCAATTTTTCAACAAAATGGTGTCTCTCCTGTTCAAAATTGGGCAAAATAAATCTGCTTAAATACAGCGTGTGTAGTCAGTACAATATTATGCTGATTTTTTTTTTTTAATACTAAACCTAACACAGTGGCATGACGTGTCTCTTTGCAAAAGTGCTTAACCCCTTTCCACTGACCGAGTGGCCTCACTTGGCTTTTTCCATGGGGCTGCATATATGCGTATCTGTCCTTGTGCTGGGAGCGCGCTGACTCCTAGCACAGAGACCGGAATATCACTGGGAACCCCAGGTCCCATACTGACGATCAGGACCCAGGATTCCTAGTTCCTGGTTACCTGATCGCTGTGATATCCTCTGACTGGCTGCAACCCACCCCTATGTTTTCTTTCTCTTTGAATGCAGAATCCCGTGTTTCCTTATTACTTTGTTACCTATGTGGCAGTTACTTTTACCATGGTTGATACACAGCAGGCATGGTGCTGTCAGCAGCAGAAACATTAAAAAAGGCCTACACAGCAGAGCTCTTTCAATTGTCTCTGTCACGATGCTAGCTAATTTCAACCAAGCATATACAAAAAACCTATATTTTCAATATTTTGGCAACAATAGTGGATACAAACATGAGAGTGGATTCTGTGGGATTGGGATTTGGTTTAAACAAAAGTTACAAAAAATAATAATAAATTAGAAATAAAAATGGGGCAGACTCAATGGACCACTTGGTCTTTAGTTTGCTGTCACTTTTATATGTTTGTAAGTGATTTTGTGCTGTCTGTTTTTACATTTTATCAATATTATTAGTACCCCTCTAGAGCATTTTTTTCATTTTTGCACACATGTAATGTCTGCATTTTGGCTATAAAATTACATACTATTCCCAGAAATTATATATGTTATGAAAAGCAGAGGCTCTGTAGCATTAAATATGTTGTATTAAATTTGCACAAAAAGTTTATCAAATTTATATTTTCAAGAAAAAATACATCAAAATTATTTTTATTGCACACAAACAAAATTTAATCCCCAATTTGTTAATACAAATTAAAAGATGAGGTCATGCAGAGTAAATAGATATCAAATGTGTCAAGCCTCAAACTGTATGCTTTAAATCTCTTAACAGCTCATCATCAGTAAACCATGAATGAGGGACTTAGAGGTATTACTCTCACTCTGAAATTTGTGGCAATAAACACATACACATGTACGCCCTATGTGCGCATTTTGCATATGAAGGTGTGTATATGGAGTTGCTTTTAATTGTATTTATTGTTTTTTTTATATTTTGTTATATTTGTTAAAAACAAATGTTATTTTTATTTAATTTTATTGCTATCACAATGGGGCTAACAAGTCCCCTACTAGTTAGCATTGGTAAGGTGACAGGTCCTATTTACAAGGATAACAGGGGTCTATTGGACCCCTAATGTCTCCCCTGCAGCTAAGCAAGCATAGATTATGGTTGAGTAGCTGTTTCTCTGGCCACAGCAGCCTGGGAATTACAGCACTGAAACCATAAACATTCAGAGCTCAGAGCTTCCAGCTTTATATAGGGTAGAAGAGAATGGGGAATGGATGTTCCGCTTACTGTCCTGAGTGCACTTGTGGTCTACGAAGCGGAAAGTGCTGTGGGGGAGCTGGTGGATGCCAATATCACTTTACAATACAGCTAGGATAGGGTCCAGTGATGTGAAGTGTTTAACTTTTAAGACAAAGCAAAGTGGTATTGCAAAATAGAAGCTAACAAACTGTACTGTCATCTCCCAAGCATGTCATTTTCAAGATTCACCCCCCCCCCCCAGACAATGGGGTTCAGATTTTCATTTGCAATTTTCAAAATTTCCAATAGGTTCGACAAATGGCCTTTAAACAGAAACCAAGCACATTCGCTCACCCCTAATTATACTGTAAGTAGAAATATTAATCTCTGACAATGTGCCGAATCCCTAGTCTCTGTCCCAATTACACAGAAATAGCTTTCTACATTAGATATTAAAAGCAACATGTCCTTTAGCTTAAAATGCTACTAATCCTAAATACTACAAAGTGTGTAAAAGACATATTGCATTAGAAGGAGATTGGAGGATTCAGAGAAGAACACTTTAGTCTAGAACAGCGGTTCTCAACCTGGGGGTCGCGACCCCTTTGGGGGTCGAACGACCATTTCCCAGGGGTCGCCTAAGACCATCGGAAAACACATATTTCCGATGGTCTTAGGAACCGAGACACCGCTCCTCTGACTCAGTCGATGTGTGGGCGGGATGACACGCTGCCCTGTCACCTGGCCACACCTCCGGGATCCCTCAACAACTCCTCCTCCTCGCCGCTGATTGGCCACCGGAACTGTAGCTCAGGAGAGGCACACAGGCGGCCAATCACCGGCGAGGAGGTGGAGCTTGGAGAGGAGGAGCCGAGCGGCAGCGCGCGTAGATCTAAGAAGATCGAGGGAACTGCCGGAGTAAAGTGAAGAGGAGAGCGGCCAGAGAAGGAAGACAGCTGACAGGTAAGTGAGAGAGCGAGCCCAGGCTGGAGCAGGGGTCAGCAAGGTAAGTATCATTGGTGTCAGTGGGAGGAATAGTGCCCCATCATTTGTGTGACTAATACCAACAATGGGGCACTATTTCTCCCACTGACACCAATGAAGGGGCACTATTTCCTCCCCCCCCCGCACTGACACCAATGATGGGGCACTATTCCTCCCCCCCACTGACACCAACGATGGGACACTATTCCTCCCCCCCACTGACACCAACGATGGGGCACTATTCCTCCCCCCCACTGACACCAACGATGGGGCACTATTCCTCCCCCCCACAGACACCAACGATGGGGCACTATTCCTCCCCCCCCACAGACACCAACGATGGGGCACTATTCCTCCCCCCACTGACACCAAGAATGGGGCACTATTCCTCCCCCCACCGACACAAACGATGGGGCACTATTCCCTGACCCCAAAGATGGGGCACTATTTCCCCCTCCACCACACTGACATCAATGATGGGGCACTATTCCTCCCACTGACACCAATGATGGGGCACTATTCCTCCCACTGACACCAATGATGGGGCACTATTCCCCCCACTGACACCAATGATGGGGCACTATTCCCCCCCACTGACACCAATGATGGGGCACTATTCCCCCCACTGACACCAATGATGGGGCACTATTCCCCCCACTGACACCAATGATGGGGCACTATTCCCCCCACTGACACCAATGATGGGGCACTATTCCCCCCACTGACACCAATGATGGGGCACTATTCCCCCCACTGACACCAATGATGGGGCACTATTCCCCCCACTGACACCAATGATGGGGCACTATTCCCCCCACTGACACCAATGATGGGGCACTATTCCTCCCACTGACACCAATGATGGGGCACTATTCCCCCCACTGACACCAATGATGGGGCACTATTCCCCCCACTGACACCAATGATGGGGCACTATTCCCCCCACTGACACCAATGATGGGGCACTATTCCCCCCACTGACACCAATGATGGGGCACTATTCCTCCCACTGACACCAATGATGGGGCACTATTCCCCCCCCACTGACACCAATGATGGGGCACTATTCCTCCCACTGACACCAATGATGGGGCACTATTCCTCCCACTGACACCAATGATGGGGCACTATTCCTCCCACTGACACCAATGATGGGGCACTATTCCTCCCACTGACACCAATGATGGGGCACTATTCCTCCCACTGACACCAATGATGGGGCACTATTCCTCCCACACTGACACCAATGATGGGGCACTATTCCTCCCACTGACACCAATGATGGGGCACTATTCCCCCCACTGACACCAATGATGGGGCACTATTCCTCCCACTGACACCAATGATGGGGCACTATTCCTCCCACTGACACCAATGATGGGGCACTATTCCTCCCACTGACACCAATGATGGGGCACTATTCCTCCCCCTGACACCAATGATGGGGCACTATTCCCCCCACTGACACCAATGATGGGGCACTATTCCCCCCCACTGACACCAATGATGGGGCACTATTCCCCCCACTGACACCAATGATGGGGCACTATTCCTCCCACTGACACCAATGATGGGGCACTATTCCTCCCACTGACACCAATGATGGGGCACTATTCCCCCCACTGACACCAATGATGGGGCACTATTCCCCCCACTGACACCAATGATGGGGCACTATTCCCCCCCACTGACACCAATGATGGGGCACTATTCCCCCCACTGACACCAATGATGGGGCACTATTCCCCCACTGACACCAATGATGGGGCACTATTCCCCCCCACTGACACCAATGATGGGGCACTATTCCCCCCCACTGACACCAATGATGGGGCACTATTCCCCCACTGACACCAATGATGGGGCACTATTCCCCCCACTGACACCAATGATGGGGCACTATTCCCCCACTGACACCAATGATGGGGCACTATTCCCCCCACTGACACCAATGATGGGGCACTATTCCCCCCACTGACACCAATGATGGGGCACTATTCCCCCCACTGACACCAATGATGGGGCACTATTCCCCCCACTGACACCAATGATGGGGCACTATTCCCCCCACTGACACCAATGATGGGGCACTATTCCCCCCACTGACACCAATGATGGGGCACTATTCCCCCCACTGACACCAATGATGGGGCACTATTCCCCCCACTGACACCAATGATGGGGCACTATTCCCCCCACTGACACCAATGATGGGGCACTATTCCCCCCACTGACACCACTGACACCCCAATGATGGGGCACTATTCCCCCCACTGACACCAATGATGGGGCACTATTCCCCCCACTGACACCAATGATGGGGCACTATTCCCCCACTGACACCAATGATGGGGCACTATTCCCCCCACTGACACCAATGATGGGGCACTATTCCTCCCACTGACACCAATGATGGGGCACTATTCCCCCCACTGACACCAATGATGGGGCACTATTCCCCCCACTGACACCAATGATGGGGCACTATTCCCCCCACTGACACCAATGATGGGGCACTATTCCCCCCACTGACACCAATGATGGGGCACTATTCCTCCCACTGACACCAATGATGGGGCACTATTCCCCCCATGACTGACACCAATGATGGGGCACTATTCCTCCCACTGACACCAATGATGGGGCACTATTCCTCCCACTGACACCAATGATGGGGCACTATTCCTCCCCACTGACACCAATGATGGGGCACTATTCCCCCCACTGACACCAATGATGGGGCACTATTCCTCCCCACTGACACCAATGATGGGGCACTATTCCCCCCACTGACACCAATGATGGGGCACTATTCCCCCCACTGACACCAATGATGGGGCACTATTCCCCCCACTGACACCAATGATGGGGCACTATTCCCCCCACTGACACCAATGATGGGGCACTATTCCCCCCACTGACACCAATGATGGGGCACTATCCCCCCACTGACACCAATGATGGGGCACTATTCCCCCCACTGACACCAATGATGGGGCACTATTCCCCCCACATGACACCAACGATGGGGCACTATTCCCCCCAACACCAACGATGGGGCACTATTCCCCCCACTGACACCAATGATGGGGCACTATTCCCCCCACTGACACCAACGATGATGGGGCACTATTCCCCCCACTGACACCAACGATGGGGCACTATTCCCCCCACTGACACCAACGATGGGGCACTATTCCCCCCACTGACACCAACGATGGGGCACTATTCCCCCCACTGACACCAACGATGGGGCACTATTCCCCCCACTGACACCAACGATGGGGCACTATTCCCCCCACTGACACCAACGATGGGGCACTATTCCCCCCACTGACACCAACGATGGGGCACTATTCATCCCACTGACATCAGTGATGGGGCACTACTCCTTCCACTGACACCAATGATGTGGCACTAGTCCTCCCACTGCAAAATTACAGTTATGAAGTAGCAACGAAAATAATTTTATGGTTGGGGGTCACCACAACATGAGGAACTGTATTAAGGGGTCGTGGCATTAGAAAGGTTGAGAACCACTGGTCTAGAACAGCCTTTTTCAACTTTTTCAACACAGAGGAACCCTTGAAATAACTTTCCAGTCTCAGAAAACCCCTGCTAAAAATGACTATATCTACAACTCATGGTACATTAGTATGATGGTCAATGGCAAGAATTCTCCTTACACTTGTGGTCATTGGGAACAATTACCCTCTTATAGATAGCTAAAAAGATCAGTGGTGTTACTGGGAACTTATCTGAGAGTCAGAAATTGCTCATTGCTCAAGGAACCCCTAGTAACCTCTGGAGGAACCCTTGGGTTTCATGGAACCCTGGTTGTGAAACCCTGGTCAAGAATGGTATTTTTGTACAACCCAATGGGATTTCCAGATTAGGATCCTTTCAATTAAATCCTTTGATGTAATTGTGAGTTATTCAAAGTGATATCCACAAATAAACATTGTTACCTGTGTTAATTTCCCATCAAATTTTCTGAAAAAGTTCTATGTTTTACTTCATCAGCATTTCAGCAACTATTTGGCAGAAATTTGTGCTGACACAAATATGGGGAGATGCATTTTTTTTTACATTGTTTTACGGCACAGGTTTTAGTCTGCTAGCATGATCCTTGTTTGACTAACTAGCAAACAACAGACCTGGAACAAATATACAGAACAGGATTTCAAACATTTCTGACTGCAATTGCTGCATTCTTGTTCTGAGTCAACAACTCTCTGGGTTGTAAAGCCAGAATCAGACTGGTCCAAAAGAATTCTGTGGCATAACATCTGGCCATCTGGGTGGCCTGCCATCTGAATGAGGTATCAGTAGGCAAACACCAACTGGGATGAATGAACTAGGCATGTATTATCTGTGCTCTTCAATTGGCTAACCTCAAGTAATGTGGTAGCTGCCAGCAGATGTACTAGGGCACAAAGAGTGCCAATCGAACTGTATGACTCTCTTTTTGGCAGCTGAGTATGTTAGAGATATTATAATTACATTTTTACATAAGCCATTTTTTTCTTTTTACTTTTACCTTTAGTAAAAGCTGTAGCCAATATGCTCAGACTCATTATCTGTTCAAAATAACTGTAAGCATATTTGTGGCAGAAGATTCTTCTATAACAAGCCCAAGTTCAAAGGCCATACATCAGTTACCTATGAAATCATTACAGAAACATATCTCATCACATGGCACAGGAACCTGTAGGTGGAATTCAAAGTAACCATCATACTGTTAACTCTTCAAATTGCCAATTAGTCACACACATTTCTCAGTTGGTTTGGGTTTTTCAGTATTTCCAAAATAGCCGTTGCATCATTTTGCTGATTGTCAATAATGAGGCTGATGTTACTACAAAGATGCAAGCTATGATTAAGCTGCATTAAAAAGGCCACTCTGACCACAGAGTCACAAATACAGTGTGTGTATCTACAGCATATCTTTGTAAAGAGCTCACTTGCTTCAGTTTTCTCCTTCTATGAAAAAGGCTAATTAAGAGAATGGGGTTTACTTAATAAAGAAGTAGAGACTGTTCTCATAGCAAAGTGAATGTACACTGTGCAATGCAAGCATTTTTTATGTTAGACTGTGTGGCTACCTACCTCCGAAGAAATTAAAAATATTGTAATACAGAAAAGGTGGTGCCAGGATTATGGGGAAGAAAACTAGTCTGGAAAAAGTGTCAAGTACCAGCTCTGAGCTTGGTCAGGGCACAATCAGCCTTCATGGGTCCTTATATTGTCCTACCATTTCTGATTTCTCTGGAGGTGACTCAAACAAAATAACGGCACAAACACCTATTCCTGAGAGGGACAACTTGATAATTATAACAGCCTAAAGGCTGGCACATACTGGCCGAATGTCAGCCGTTATCAGCTGGTTCAACAGAAACCAGTCAACATTCGGCCAGTGTGTACAGCAACTGGAAAACCAGTAGCTGTCCGACAACCAATCAGCGCTCCAAGCCAATGTGGGGGAAGAATGGAAAAAAAAAGGCTACACTAGCGATTAGTTATTTTTGCTACTGAGTTTTAACTACTCATTGGCAGACATTTTATTGATTTCAGTTTACCACACCAGGTACAGTAGCTGCCAAGGAATAGTTAGACAACAAATATTTTTATTTATGTTTTGGCTAAAATATGGAAGGGTTAATACTAATGGTGCATTGAAAGGAAAATTCTGGTGTCAAAGCCGAAACCGAAAATTCAGGATGCACTTGGCTAACAACCAAAAACAAAAAAGACAGTTTTTTTATTTTTTGTAATTTAATTAATGTGGATGGCAATTTTGCATTGAAGTCACTAGAGGGTAATTTTGCATTAAAGTCAAAAGGGATACGACTTTGCATGAAAGTCTATGAGATGCAGTTTTGCATTGAAGTCACTAGGGGGGTGTTTTTGCATGAGAGTCTATGAGACACAATTTTGAATTGAAGGCACTAGGGGACTTTTTTTAATTGAAGTCAATAAGAATGCGACTTTGCATGTAAGTCCATGAGACACAATTTTGCATTGAAGTCAGTAGGGGGTGCCTTTGCATGAAAGTCTATGAAACAGGACTTTGCATGTATCAGCACTAGAGATGAGCGAATTATTCAAAAATTTGATTCGACTGATTCGGCGAATTCGTGAAAAATTTTTTGATTCGAGTCGAATATATTCGCTGCGAATTTAACTTATAAAAGGGTGTTTCTAGGCTTCAGAGAGCCTTTATATTTAGTGCAGAACACTGTACCTTTAATTTAAATGCCCTTGGAGTCTGCTGGGGAAGAGAAATAATACTGACAGTCAGTATGACATGCAGATGAGTGCCGTCGATCTTAGAATCACCGCACACTTCACTCATTTGGGCAGTCACGGGGCCAAAACCAGAGTGTGGAGCCACAGTGTGGCGGTGGAGGCAGCAGCAATGGGAGGCCATACAGCACCCTATGACAAAAATGGAAACCACCAGCAGTGTGAGGAGACCTGAAAGTGGCACATGGCAGAGTGTGGCAATGGAGACAGCAGCAATGGGAGGCCGTACAGGGACCCATGACACACTCTGGACCTGGCAGCAGCATGAGGAGGCGGTACAGGGGCCCATGACAGATTACGGGCCTGGCAACAGCATGAGGAGTTGGTACGGGGGCCCATGGCAGATTACGGGCCTGGCAGCAGCAATGGGAGGCCGTACAGGGACCCATGACACAAAAATGGACCTGGCAGCAGCATGAGGAGGCGGTACAGGGGCCCATGACAGATTACGGGCCTGGCAGCAGCATGAGGAGTCGGTACGGGGGCCCATGACACACTCTGGACCTGGCAGCAGCATGAGGAGGCGGTACAGGGGCGCATGACAGATTACGAGCCTGGCAGCAGCAACTTGGACAGGAGGACGTTCAGCTTCTGCACCGTCGGGTGCGTGCTCGCAAACTGTTGTCTCTTGGAAACGGATTCCAAGAAAGACTGCTGACGGAATCCGTGAAGAGGAGTAGCAGGAGAAGGAGCATCTGAACGAGCGGAATATGCCAACAAGCGACAACAGGGGCCATGACAGATTACGGGCCTGGCAGCAGCATGAGGAGTCGGTACGGGGGCCCATGGCAGATTACGGGCCTGGCAGCAGCAATGGGAGGCCCGTAATCTGCCAGCACCCTATGACAAAAAATGGAACACACCAGCAGTGTGTGAGGAGACCTGAAAGTGGCACATGGCAGAGTGTGGCGATGGAGACAGCAGCAATGGGAGGCCGTACAGGGACCCATGAGA